TTGTATACTCTAAATATTGTAAAATAAAATATCAAAATAACAAAACAGTAACTTAGTGCTAGTTGATCAGTAAGATAAAAATAAGCACTGTAAGGACATAGGGATGGACCCTTCCTAGCACATGGTAGGCATATAATCGGAATGAATGAATGGCTGGGTGATCTCTGTATTAAAATGAACCACAAATTTGATTACAGGCTTATAGCCATTTAAAAGATACTTATCTTTTAAAATGCTGAATATTTAAAACTACATACTCATCTCCATTGAGATCATGAACAAGGTAAGGCTATCCCCCCACACTCCTTTTCAAAATCATACTCAAAGTACTAGCTAATTTAATAAAAAGATGAACAAGAGATGTAGATACTGGGGGGAAACAAAAAATGTCTTTGTTCACAGATGACATTATTATCTATGTAGTAAATCTGAAAGAAATGACTCCCAACTCCTGAAACTCATAAGAGATTATAGCAAGGATGCAGGACAAGATTATTAAATAAAAGTCAATCACTTTCTTATATATTGGCAATGGACAAGTAGAGTTTGAAATTAAAAACACAGTAACATTTATATCAGCATCCCCTAAACTGATATACATAGGTATGAATCCAGCAAAATATGTATAAGAGCTATACAAGGAAAACTACAAAGCTCTGAATGAAATCAAAGAATTAAATGAATAAAGAGACATTACATATTTGTTTTCAGTGAGATTCAATATTATCAAAATGTCAGATCTTCATAGTTGAACTATAAATTCAATGCAATCCCAATCAAAACCCTAAAAAATTATTTTGTGGGTACCAGCAAAATGATTCTAAAATTTATATGGAAAGATAAAGACCCAGAATAGTTAACAAAAAAATGTTAGCAGAAAAGACAAAACTGGAGGACTGACACTACTCAGCTTGAAGATTTAAGGCAAATCAAGACAGAACAGTATTGGTGAAAGAATAAATAGATCAATGAATCAGAGTGGTCAGCTCATCTTTGATAAAGGAGCAAAGGCAATACAATGGAAAAAAAGATAGGCTTTTCAACAAAAGGTGCTGGAGCAATTGGAGACCCACATGCAAAAAAAAAAAAAGAAAAGAGGAGGGGAAGGGAAAAGAGAGAGAGGATAAGGAAGAGGAGAGGGAAAGAAAGGAGAGGATTTATTGGAGATGATTAAGATTCAAGTTTATAACCAATACCTATGCAAAGCATTAAAAAATACCCAGAATAAGATAAACTCTGGATAAATGGTTTACAGCACTTACTACTATCCTAATGATTATTAAATCTCAGGGTTTGAAAATGACACAAGCCACCAGTCAGTATTATGGAAAGTAAAGTACCTATGTCTGTACTTTAAACTTTTAATTCACCAATATTAAGCTTAGATATGTTTTGTTTGATAAACATCTTTCAGCCTCACAGAGTTAAGTATTCTAATAATTTATTTCTACACCATCATTTCCTTGAGTTTTAAAGTCCAATTAGAAAAGAAAAATGCTGGGTGACATCAAGAAAAGTTATTTTTCCTTACTCTAACATGCAAAATACTCATAGCTTGCTAAGTTTGCCTATAAACACAAAATACCCTCCCCACAGTTTTATTGTTGTCTGAGTTATAGCAGGAGATGTTCATATATCTCCATCCTCAAAATGTCTCCCCACAAGATACTTACTAATTTACTAATTACAAAGGGTAAAATAACAACTTTATAGTGGAAAAATTTGGCAGATACCTCCTTAGCCAAATGATCAATTATTATTATAACAAGACAAGTCAACATCATGTGAATCTTTATATGATGCACTAAAAATAACAGAACATTAATTTGTGGCATTTCTGCCAAAACTTTATAACCTGAGTCTAACTGCAAGGAAATACTGGACAAAAACAAAGACCATTCTACAAAATAACTGACCTGAACTCTTAAAAAAAGTCAATATTCATGGAATACAAAGAGAAACTCCAGATCAATTTCAGATGAAAGAAAATTAAAGAGATAATGATGACTAAACTCAAGCATAATCTTGAATTTTCTTTTACTATATATTTTACTGAACTAATTAAGAAAATCTGAATAGGGTCTGTATGAGGTAGGAGCCAATATTAATTATTTTCTATATGACTATCTAATTAACTCAGAACAGTTTATTATCCTTCTCCCACTGCTTCTCAGTATCATCTCTGCTATAAATCTAATATCCTAGTATGAATATGTGGTTTGTCTTCGTTTTTCTAACATGCAAATACAATTCTTTTACCCCCCCACCTTTATTATACAAATGGTGATATAAACTACACATTTTCTGCTCTTGCATTTTTTTAAACATTGTATCTTGATGATGATTTTTCTTTTACTATCAATTAAACTGATGAATTTTACTGGGGTTAAAACTATAATAAAATTCATCCTAAAACATTTTGCAATGCAAAATTATTTCACTCAAGGAGTTTTTAATAAACATGAACACTAGAAATTACAAGCAATTTTCAAAAGCAGACTCACATTCATAAAACTTTATATGTCTTTTTTTTTTTTTTTTTTGGTACCAGCGATCGAACTCAGGACCTTGCGCTTGCAAGGCAGGCACTGGAACCACTGAGCTAAATCCTCGGCCCAAAACTTTATATGTCATTTGAACTAACATTTATACTGCTAAACTCAAACAGCATCACCACCAAACATTCTTGTATCATGATTTTTTATATATTGCATTATTTAACATCACTTCTCATCACCACACGAATTTCATCATACACTTGGACTATTCTCCTTGGATTTTTTATTTTTGGCTTCATTTTTTATATTATCCTTCTTGAGAACAGTGTGGATTTCATCCATTACTGTAGATAAGTTTCTGCTTGTCTTATTCAGTGGGTTTTCAAATTGCAAATTCATGTTTTTGGAAACCTTTAAGTTTTCTTGTACCTAAGATCCTTTTTAACTTCTCTGAGTTCACCAGAGAGGTTTTTGTTGGAAATTTCCAAATTTAATAGTTTTTTTCATCTTTATCTGTTTTTTTCTTCTAGTAATTGTAGCTTCTGTTCTACTTCAGCTCTTACTTTTTGACTCTTTTCCAATTTTTGCAAGAGACTTCCTACATCTACCATTATACACAATAAGTCCTACATTTTCTCTTACATCCTTTAACTCCTGTTTTACTGTTCGTGTTGAAAGTAACAACCTGTTGCCTAGCATATCTTCCTGCAATGATTCAGACTCTTCATGACTTTCTTCATCTTTCGAAGTATCGGTTAATTTCCAATAAAAGCAACATTCACGGAGTACTAATTATTAAGAAGTTTCTTTACCTGAGCTTGAGAAAGATGCAGTCCAAGAGTACAGAGCATTTCTTCCAAATCTTTTGAAAGAAGGTAATCACAATGGCTTTGATCAAAATAAACAAAGACCATTAAGAGATCCCTGTTAATTGTGATCATCTGAGTCTTTTCTTTTTCCTTATCTTTAGATGGTTTCTCCTTGCAATATCTGTTGATATCTGTTTTGTCATCTCGATTGTTCATTTGTTCCTCATTCCCATCATCCTCATCATCCTCAGCTTCTTCTGCTTTCACTGGGTTATATTCATCTTGATTATTATCTTCTTCAGTTTCATCGTCATCTTTAGAATCATCTTTTTTTTGGAGGGGGGCGTACCAGGGATCAAACTCAGGACATTCAGCTTGCTAGGTAGGGGCGGTGCCACTGAGCTAAATCCCTGGCCCCTAGAATCATCTTTTCTTTTATCTTCTTTCTTCCTTTCATATTTATCTTTTTTATCTTTATCATCTCCTGATTTTCTCCATTTGGGATTTGGTTCATCAGTTTCACCATCTCTTTCTTCTTTCTTATCTTTTCTCTCATTTTTTTTGCTTTTCTTATGCTTTTCTTTTTTGTCCTCTTTCTCAGGAAGAGACAGTAATGATTTGTATTTTCTCACACCAGAATCTCTTTGAAGCATTGCACTGAAAAGTTCTGCAAACAATGAAACCTCAAATGAATGTTCTTTATTATCCTCTAATCTGTAATCGAAAAGGACACTCAAAGACATGCTGCTACAATCAAAATTGCCACTTTTTGCAGCCCAATTCAGACGTACAATGATGGCTCCGTCATCAGGCAAAATGTATCTTCCTTCTCAATGTTGGCACACCATTTGCTCTTGGTGTTTCCTCTTTTCTTCCTCTTTATCATCTTCACATTTCCTACCTTTATAGTGATTTTTTATACCAGTAAACAAAAGAATATCTTTACCCTTCTTTTCTTTATTTTTAGGCCTGTTTTTCTTTACTATTATAAGAAGGCAGAACAGTAGGACATTTCACAGGTATATGGAAAAATAAAATAAAATTGGGTCTAATACACCACATACTATGATAAATTCCAAACAGATTAGAACTTTAAGTGTAAAAGTTGAAATCTTAGAAATACTTAAAGAAAACACAGGGTGAATTGCTTTATGACTAGGGAGTAGAGGAAGGGCTTTTATGATTTAAAATCCAGAATTAATTACTGTATAAAAAAACTTTGCTTGACAAAAAAAAAATCGTAAAGTAAAAAGACATCTGACCATCTGGTAAAGTATATTTGAAATGTAATACAAAGGACTAATATCCACATACATAAGCATGTCTTAAAAATAAAGAGGATGCCAGGGATTTAGCTCAGTGGCTCCACTGCCTGCCTCACAAGCGCAAGGTCCTGAGTTCAAGCCCCAGTACAA